AAGTAAATAGAATATATTTTAAATGTTAATTACAAATGCAAAAAATTATTTTTTTATTTGATTTGAAGTAATATGAATTTAATATAAAACTAATCTTAAAGGCAAAACCCAATATTTTGTATTCTTTACGGTCGTTTTACATCTAACCAAGTTACTCATAAGTGGGTATTTTTTATTCATCTAAATATCTAAACATCTGGTTTACTTCCAACAAAAGATAAAAAAATCTCAAAACTCGTTCGCACGAGGCATGTAATTTTGATATATAGTTCGAATTAACTTGATATTGGTTAATTTGAAAGACATGAAAAATAAACTAAGTGTTTAGTCTAAATCCATCCAAACTTTATTTGCATTTCATTTTCCTCTAAGCAAAACTAAATAAATTTCAAAATATTTATATATGTTTTATATTATACCCTAAATACCTACAACTCTACAACTCTACAACTCTACAAGCACATATTTTATATTATACCCTAAATACCTACAACTCTACAAGCACATAACACAGTTATTAAAATCAAGTCCACCAAGCTCCTTCTCCCTGCCACCAACCCTAAAACCCTACTAGGTTATACCAGCCCTAAAAAAAATGGCGATTCTCTCTGTCGCCCGTAGCCGACACTCGCTCCCACCCCGCTTCATAGTCAGCTGCCTCTCAAAAAGCAACGCTTCCTCCATTACTGATGACACTTCCTTAGCCTCATCTGCTTCTTCACCGCTTTCCCCTTCCGCCGCCAAGTCCCTCCTTCTCAGGGAGTACGATCCCGACGAAGCCCTCTCCATCATCTCCTCCGTCCCGAAGTCCTCTTCTTCCCCCGCCTCTTCCCGCTTTGCCTTCGATCTCGCCGTCCGCCGCCTCGCCACCGCCCGCCGGTTCGCCGACGTTGAATCCCTTCTCGAGTCCCGCAAATCTGATCCTGCAGCTGCTCAAGAATCTTTCGTAGCAACCGTTATTCTAGCCTACGGCTCCGCGCGCATGCTCGACCATGCTATCTCTACGTTCGAGGACGTTTGCCGCCTCTGCTCCACCCCTCCCACGACTCTATCCTTCAACGCTCTCTTATCAGCCGCCGTGCGCGCCAAGAAGCACCGCAAGGTTCGCAAGCTCTTCAAAGAGCTATCCGAGAAACATTCCATTTCCCCTGATGCGGTCTCCTACAGCATCCTAGTTAAGGCCTTATGCCTTTCCGGAAAGGCTCATAGAGCCCTTGAGATTCTCAAGGAGATGGAAGAGAAGGGCTTTAAGATTACAAGTTTCATCTACACGACTCTTCTTGATTCGCTTTACAAGAAAGGAGAGCAAGAGAAGGCCGAGGAGCTCTGGAATGTGATGACGGAGAAAGGTTGCAAACCAGATTTGGCTACTTATAATGTAAAGGTCATGCAGAAGGCCCTTCATGGGAGTCCAGAGGAGGTGCTAGAGTCCATTGCAGTGTTAGAAGCTGCTGGGTTGAAGCCAGATGAGATCACATATAACTATCTCATGACCTGCTACTCCCGGGCTGGGAGATTTGATGATGCGATTGAGGTTTATAAAGGTCTGAAGAATAAGGCTTGTGAGCCGAATGCAGCAACGTTTAAGATTATGCTGAATTGCTTTTGTGAAAAAGGGGATTTTGATGCTGGCTTTGATCTTTTTAAGGACAGCATGAAGCATAATAGGATTCCTGATTTCCGGACGCTCAGGCCTTTCGTGGAGTGGTTAGCAAAAAACTCGAAGGTAGAGGAAGCTAAAATGGTGATCAGTGTGGTAAGGCAGAGGTTCCCTGAGAGTTTGATCCGTGGTTGGAAGGTGGTTGAGGAAGAGCTTGGTTTGAGTACAAATAGACAAGATTTTGATCAAGTTGAAGCTGCTGAAAGCTGAATTGTTGAAAATGCAGTAAAAATTGTGTTTTCATATGATGATGGACTGGTGCATTAACAATTCACATAGGCTGATTCAGGCTTTGTTGGAAAATGCGGGTTTCTTAAATGTATTTGTGATTGGCCTCCTTCAACGAAGAGGTATATGGTTTTGTTTCTGCCAAGCTTTTTGTCATATTATTTATGTTAACTTCACCTGGTATTGTGGCAATAAGTTAATATTTTAATTATGAATTTTTTCCTTCAGTTTCTCCATCAGCTTCCACTTAGTTATAAAAGCATATGCATGAAAGTTAGTTCTATCTCAAAACATGTAACTTGGTCTTTCATTGTAGAAATTTTGCACTAAAACGTGATTGGATGATTCTAATGTTGTTCTTCCCCCCACTTTTAAGATGTTACTTTATCTTTAACAAGCAATAGGTGGAGCAATGTCAGGATATGGATAATGTTTTTCTTATTCTAAAATAATGCTTTTGTAATAGTGTAATTGATACAGAATATAAATGCGAATTTCAAGGTCATAATCAATAATAAAGAGCAAGGATGCAAGGTTCCAAGTCAACATCCTTATGAGATAGAACAAAGGTTGTTAAATGCTTTCACTAGGCTTTGGCTTTAAATCATGTAAATGTCTTTCCAGTTTCCAAGTCAACATCCTTATGAGATAGAACAAAGGTCAGAAAATTATCTTCATTCTATGATTTTGTAAGGCAAGAGATGGTTGTTAAATGCTTTCACAAGGCTTTGGCTTTAAATCATGTAAATGTCTTTTCAGTTTTTTTAGAATCTAGGACTAGTTTAGGATAATGA